GGTAAGCAAGCCAAAGAAACTAAACTATTCAGTCTCTTCCCAATTACGCATACTTACAAGATGTGCAATCACTTCGCAGTCGCTTCCAGTACGGAATTTGTGAGACTTTAGGTTTTCACGCAAAGTCTTGTGGTTGTATATCTCTCCATTGACCTGAAATCATTAGCACATTTGATTTACTCTTTAGATGATACACAAGTAAAAAGGTCTAAAATTTTGACATTTGCTCAGATGTTATTTGACAGTACCGTGACAGCGATGGTCTTGTCTTCGTTGTAGAGCGGTTGGTCTCCAGAAGTTGGGTCAATGATGGCTAAACGCTCATGAGCAAGATAACAGTTTTCATAACAATTGAGTCCACTCCAATCAGGACCTCTATGCCTCAATCTGCACAGTCAAAAGTAACCGATCTAAACATAAAATGGCCCCACTCACTCAATTCAAATTCAGGTCTTTATATGTTTTTCATCTTCTCCACAAACAAAAATCAAAACTTTTTGCAACTAAACAGTGACACTTCAAATGGGTAATCAAACGAACACATTCCCCGCAGTAAAGCTGAGACCTTTTTTGAATTCATAAACGATTTTCTAGTTAACATTGTGGAGGCAGAAACTGAACAAGTCAATGTGTGATTGATTGATTCAGTGAGACGGAAGAGTGAGGACATACCTGCGAGAGAGTTCGATGATACGAGAACGTTTAGCTTGAGTGTTGTCGATGCAACCAAGAACAGCGAGAATCCCACACATTGTGGAGGCAACGAGTCAAAGAAAAAAACGATGGCTTTCTCTGTGAAATGGGATTGAAGAAGAGAGTGTGAATTTATAGGGTGGCTTTTAATCTCAGCCGTTGATTTTTACAATTTATGATTCTGATTCCCTTATACTTTTAACCCTAGCCTTCTTTTGTTTTGCTCGTTTTTTTGTGATTGGTAGAGATTCTCTATCCAATGGATCATTTTCACGAGGTCCATCGTTTTTTTTGTCAATTACTTGGAACTATCGTAATTCAACATACCATATGCTACGTTTTGGCCTTTGATATTCTGAAATCACGGATTAAACGAATGCAACAAAGGCTCAATATTCATTCGTATGGCTTTACAATAGTTTGAAATCGCATCATCTCACGCATCCACATTCCACAGTTTGTTTTGGAGTTGGAGAAAGGAAACAATCGTTTTCACTTATGTTGGAATTATGTTGTGACATTTTTCACGTTTCTAACATTTGCTCTCAACTTACACAGTTACACATAATGATTATCTTTCTTATTGAGCTAAGTCTATTAACAGGACATTAAAAGAAGATTATCTCAATGTTTTTATTTTCTAAGAAGTGTATGACTATGTGAGTTATATGCTAATTTTATTTTGAACATGTGTCCAATTTAATTTTAGTTTTGGATTGTGAGAAGACTGGTCAGCCGACCGCCCGACCGTATTAAAATGTGATGAAAACTTTGAAAATTTGACAAAATTAGGTGATGGTTTTTTTGCTCCATTTTCCAAAGTTGATGGACGACTTTGAACATTTTCCAAATAAAAGTCCTTATCAACAATAATATTTTATACCCTGTCAAACAAATACGACGTCGTGTTTGCGGTTCCTCTCCCGTGAAGACGACGTATAAAGTAGAAAAGAGAAAAAGCAAGCCTTCTCCTTCTTCTTCTTCTCGTTACAAACCCATTTCTCGACCGAAGATCACCCTAAAAGGCTAAAGCGAAGGCGATCTTCTGGATTCTCGGTGGCGGGAGATTCATGGCGACGCCAAACGGAGCAAAGACCCCGTCGAATATGGGCCCTAAGGTTTTGTTTTATTCCATGTTGCTCACGCTTCAGTACGGATCCCAGCCGCTGATCTCCAAACGCTGTATCGGGTACGATATCTGGAAACAACCTATGCCTCTAAATCTCTGATGCTGGTGATAATTTCGTCCGTTTAATTTCGGGAAATGCGAGATTCGGTTGTATGCGTTTATCGTAGAGATGGAATTCGATTCATGGCAAGTGTTTGTAGGCTTTTATCGATTCAATCTGTGAATTGTGGTTAAGAGTAGTGATGGAAACCTACAATTCGAAATTATATGAAATTTGATGCGACGATTGTGACGGATATTAGTTGCTACTGCGAGAAGAACACTGTGGATACTAAGCCATTTCTGACCACCTTGAATATACTAAATGCCTCTTGTGAAATTTAGCAAATCTATGATGTTGTTTTGGCCTATCGAGTTAGCTAATTCATCATAGTGTTTTAGTTGTTCATGTTGATTTTTCAGGGTACTGTGTTATATTTCGCTTACTGTAGTTGTTGATATTGAGTCACTTTATGCTCAATGCTACACTGATAACGAAGCTATATTAGCACCATTGGTAGTTAGAACCTAGTAGGCTTGGTCACTATTCCATGTGTTTGTTTGTTTCTTGTTCAGTTAATGGATTGCCTCTTATCACGATTTGGATCAATTTTTGCAGGAGGGAGGTTATTGTAACTTCATCTGTTTTGACGTGCGAGATTGTTAAGGTAGTACATTGATGTTTTTTCTTTCTACTTTTGAGATTTTACATTTATGAAGTACTGTTTCTGAAATTTTGGATGTATGGCCTTTATTTTTCAGGTCGTATGCGCTCTGGTTCTCATGGCAAGAGATGGTAGTTTGAAGGGATTGTCGAAAGAGTGGACGTTGATGGGATCATTGACTGCATCGGGACTCCCTGCAGCCATATACGCACTGCAGAACAGCTTGCTGCAGATCTCGTACAGGAGTCTTGATTCCCTGACGTTCTCAATTCTGAATCAGACGAAAATCTTTTTCACTGCATTCTTTACATTCATGATACTAAGGTAACCTTATTTTTTCTTACTTCTTATGATCTTTCCTGTGTGAACTAGTGCTTGGTTTTTAGTTTGCGAGGATTTGTGTGTTTCATGAGCTAGTTCCTACATCGCAGCAGAGTTAGAGATTTGCTGTGTGATTGCCCGAATAACCTGCTCTAATTTGATGCCTACCACTTCTGTGAAGCTCTTCCACGAATGTTTTTCGATGAGATTTTTGCTAATTGATAGAAGCTTGATGAAATTCGCACGCAGTGATGTTGTTTCGAATGATTTCTTGTAGGCAGAAGCAATCAATTCAACAAATAGGAGCATTGTGTTTGTTAATCATGGCAGCAGTGCTTCTAAGTATTGGTGAAGGCTCTAGCAAAACTTCAAGTGGTATTAATCCGGATCAAGTGCTGTTTTCTGGAATTATCCCCGTCTTGGCAGCCTCTGTGCTCTCCGGTTTAGCCTCATCTCTATGTCAATGGGCTTCTCAGGTCTGTCATCCAGTGTTTTTAATTGTCACATTCCATTAAAGAATCTGTAGTTCAAATCCATACATAGGCCTTACTTTCTCACTGTTACAGGTCAAGAAGCATTCATCATACTTAATGACAGTCGAAATGTCTATCGTTGGAAGCCTCTGCTTGTTAATAAGTACCCTTAAATCTCCAGACGGTGAAGCCATCAAAAGATATGGTTTCTTTCATGGCTGGACTGCTTTAACCTGGGTAACAACTATCTCTAACCCCTGAACGATTCTGATTGTTGATGGAAAAACTCTTTTTGCTGCTTGCTTGTATTCAATGTGACTGTGATTCTTCTTACAGGTCCCAGTAATAAGCAATGCTCTTGGTGGAATTCTTGTTGGCCTAGTTACATCACATGCCGGTGGCGTAAGAAAGGTAAAAACAAACAAAAAAAAGTCCCAATCAAAGTTTCTTCAGCTAAAGCTGAAATACATAACGTGTTTTTTTTTTGTTTGTTTTACAGGGATTTGTGATTGTCTCGGCGTTACTTGTGACCGCGTTACTTCAATTTGCGTTCGAAGGGAAACCGCCATCGTCGTATTGCCTCGTGGCGCTTCCACTGGTGATCAGTAGTATCTCAATGTACCAGAAATATCCACACTTGGACAAGAAGAAGAAGAAGAAGGTTTAAGAAGCTTTTTCATCGTCTTCTCCATTCGTAGGTTTGGTAGCTGCTAAATTCAACTATGAAATATATGAGTGCCCTTATTATTAACTAGATATGATAGTAGTTCATTCCTTCATGGACCACTCAAAAGACTCTGTATTTTTACGTTGATAGTTAATCATGGAATGAGTCTTGTAGTGATCTGAATCCGATTTTTGAGTTTAATCATCTTAAGGTCTTGATACGGTGTCGTTTCTTACGTAGTGTGTGATCGTGGGAAGGCGGATACGTATGGGCTGGCCCATTTATCTGAAATTGGGCTTTATAGAATTTGACCCATTGCTTACGCAACTCAAGAAAAATCCCATTATGGCATTATCATCATCCTTCCTGGGTAAAAGTAAAACAATCTGGCACCAGTAAAATGGAAAAGGGACTAGAATTTAGTTTTTTTTTCTTTAAACATTTAACACCGTTATCTATTTGATTATGACACATGACTACAGTATTGCAATCCAATAACATTAATTAAAATTAAATAAATGTAGCCTTTACCAAAGCATTTCAATGCATTGAAGGCACAAAGTTACACTTTCACCAAATTACCAAAATCGACCTTATATATTTTTCTTTATAAGGATTTTTGACTTAATTTTTTTCCTTCTACATATGATTACATTTTCATTTCTTTTTAACTTTATTTCCAATTTTTTATATATATATATATATATATATATCACAGTTTTAATATAAAACTTACACAAATAAAATTTATTATAATCTAAATTTTTAACATTTTTCATGATTTTTTAGAAGAATATATGTAACTTTTATTGTTTTCCTCACAGTAAAGAACTTTCAACAATTTCCACCAAAAAAAAAAGAACTTTCAACAATTAACATTTTCTTAATAAGGAAAATAAAATAATACTTTTGAATAATAATAGTTGGCGGTACTTCGTCGTTTTTATATAAACGCGATTTCATCTTCCACTTCAATCCGGCGAAAAACAAAATCCTAGGAAGCCAAAAAAAAAATGGCGACAGGCTCACATTTACCAAATTACAAGCTTGTGTTTCTCGGCGATCAATCCGTTGGCAAAACTAGCATCATCACTTGCTTCATGTACGGTAGCTTCGACGCCAATTATCAGGTCCGAAAAATTCCATCCCGATCTACGTTGAATTTGGCTGGTTTGATTCGAACACAGATTTCAAAACTAAATCAATACGTCCCGAGATTTGTGATTTGTGTTCATTTGTATATGACCATCCAGATGATCTTTTTGTTTGTTTGTTTGTCTCGTTTATTATTATGATCCCTAGAATTGTGCGTTCTTGATACGAGTTAATGAGGATCGCAGTTTAAGAAATAGTTCAAATTTGATTATTTGTGGAAGTCCTTTGTGTTGCACAATGTTCTTTTACTCGGAATCAGATTGTTATTTGAATTTAGAATTTTATTCTCCTAATTTTGGGGTATTTTCATGCATATGTTCCATGTGACTCTCTTTCATGTCTTTCAATTTTACCTGTTGGAAATTTTGCAGGCTACTATTGGAATTGATTTTTTGTCCAAAACAATGCGCCATGAAGATAGGACTTTCCGTCTGCAGTTGTGGTAATCCCATCTTTTTGATTTCAATTGCTTCCTTTTCACATTTTTGTTGCAAAAAAGTGTGTCCCATGTTAGATTTAGTGTATTCGATTCCACAGGGACACTGCTGGACAAGAGAGATTTAAAAGCTTGGTACCAAGTTATATCAAAGAATCCTCTGTTGCTGTAATTGTCTTTGATGTTGCAAGTAAGACTTTCGTTTTGAAAAACTCTTCTTCTTCTTCAGTACTCAAATTGTGTTCTTGTGTGAGAAAAACTCACAATTTTGTATTTGTGAGTGTGCAGATAAGCAATCGTTTTTGAACACCTCCAAGTGGATTGAAGATGTTCGTGCTGAAAGAGGTAGTCATGTTATCATTGTTCTTGTTGGGAACAAAACCGATCTTGTTAATAAAAGGTAAGGAACAAAGAACAAAGATAAGATCATTTCACTTCACAAACCATGGATTGCTCCACTTCTGTGTTGTTAATATCTCCAAACTCAAACGAAGTTGTTCTGGTGATTGTGATTGATTCAACAGGCAAGTTTCAATAGAGGAAGGGGAAAACAAAGCTCGTGATGTTGGAGCTTTGTTCATGGAGACTAGTGCAAAAGTTGGATTCAACATTAAGGTAAAAACAAACCAAAAAACACACACAAGTCAAAATAATGTGATATATATATATATATATATATATTTTTTATGTGATTTATTCTTCTCTAAGTAAACTTGGTGTAACTAGTTGTTGTTTTTTTTTTTGAGTGTAGCCTCTGTTCTATAAGATTGCATCGGCGTTACAAGGAATGGAGTCACTTCCTTGGAAGAACCAAGAAGATTTGGTGGATGTGAACCTAAAGCCATCAACCAAATCATCTCAGGCAGATCAACATCAAGGCACTTGTTCTTGTTAATGATATATAACCTTTCTTTACAAACTTAGGCAGAGAAAGAAAACATTCATATGATTTGATCAATTATCGTTGCAACTAATTACAATCAAACAAGTTCACATTTTCGTTGGAATGTTGTCAAAAAGTGAAACACAAGACAAAAAAAAAAAAAACAAAATCGTCAAAAGAGATTGTGGAGGATCAATGATGACGTGTCAACGATTTTTCCATCGTCACCAGAAAAAGAGACGAAAAAGGCACCGAATCACACTTTCACCGAAACCTACCTAATATTCTCTCCGGCGAGAGCGATGTTAGTGTGTGAGCAGTGATACGAAAGCTTAAAGCTTTGAGAAAGAGCTACTTCAACTATATAAACTATCAATATCAGTCGTCTCTCTTCTTCATTTAGATCCACAAACTATTGATTCAATCTCATTTTGGGTCTGCCCAAAGTTTCCGATTTGCTCAATTTGCCGAAATTTCCAATCGTAAAATTGATCCCTCTCCTGAAAATGCGTGGCCTTGATCGATGGATTGCTGACGCAATCAGATCAGAACCATTAGATCACAATGGTCAAATCCTCGGTGGATTGTTTCTCGACGAATCTCTTCCTTCCTCGTCCGTCTCTTTCGTTTCCTCCAAGGATTGCTCCGTTAATTCGTGTCGATTCGTCAGAAAGTCTAGTATTTTGAAGTTTAGGAGACGAAATGGGACCAGGGAGCCTCTGTTTTCGTCTGTCAGTTTATCGATTAACGAAAGTAATAGCGAGGAAGAAGAAGGTGAAGGGTATAATGGTCAAAACGGCTATAAATCTCTTCCGGCGAAAGATTCAGTTTTGATCGGTGGTGGTGGTCTAGAATCGACGGAGAAGATTAGGGTCAAAGAAAATGGATCAGGAGCTCTCAACACCACAAAGCATTTATGGGCTGGAGCTTTTGCAGCCATGGTTTCAAGGTGTCTTCTCCTTCTTCTTTACTTAGTATCATAGAATCAATAGTTAGTCTTAAAGCTGGAGACTTTAGATGGTGTGGTCATTACTTAGTGACATGCTTATATAAGATTTGAATTATAGAATCAATAGTTAGTCTAAAAGCTGCAGACTTTAGGTGGAATGCTTAAATGAGATTTCATATTGATTTGGTTGTTGTAGTTTGGTGGCTCATTTTGTTTTAGGGTTTTGGTTTGAGCAGAACTTGCATTGCACCTCTTGAGCGGATGAAGCTAGAATACATTGTGCGTGGAGAGCAACGGAGTCTTCTTGGTCTCATTCAGAGGATTGCAACAACTGAAGGGATCAGAGGATTTTGGAAAGGGAATTTGGTTAATATTCTTAGAACCGCTCCTTTCAAGTCCATCAACTTCTATGCATATGATACATATAGAGGCCAGCTTCTGAAACTGTCACGGAACGAGGAAACTACTAACTTCGAGAGGTTTCTCGCCGGTGCAGCTGCCGGAGTTACTGCTAGTTTGCTTTGTCTGCCACTTGATACCGTAAGTTGATTCACAACATTGAGTGTTGTTCTTTACCATTCATGAGGTTCTTTAGCATTGGTTCTGGTTTTGAATTGCAGATAAGAACGGTAATGGTGGCACCAGGTGGAGAGGCATTAGGCGGTGTGGTTGGGGCTTTCCGTCACATGATCCAAACGGAAGGTTTCTTTTCGTTATACAAAGGTCTTGTGCCTTCACTCGTTAGTATGGCTCCAGCGGGAGCAGTGTTTTACGGTGTTTATGACATATTGAAATCGACTTACCTTCATACACCGGAAGGTAAGAAACGGATTGAACACATGAAGCAAGAAGGCGAAGAGCTTAACGCTTTCGATCAGCTCGAGCTTGGTCCCATGAGAACTTTGTTGTATGGAGCAATCGCAGGGGCTTGCTCAGAAGCAGCAACGTATCCGTTTGAAGTTGTGAGAAGGCATTTACAAATGCAGTCACATGCTAAGAAGTTGAGCACAGTGGCTACTTGTGTGAAGATCATTGAACAAGGAGGTGTTCCTGCTCTTTATGCTGGCTTGATTCCCAGCTTATTGCAGGTATGGTTCCTCAAATCTTCTTAGTCATAAACTAAATTTCTTCAAAATATGTCTTCCAGCTTTGTTAATTCTCTGGAAATTGCAGGTTTTGCCATCAGCAGCGATTAGTTACTTCGTCTACGAGTTCATGAAAGTTGTCATGAAGGTTGAATCAGCACAATAGCTGGTTTTATTGCTCAAGTTTTACTTCTCAGAGATTTTTCTTTCTTTTTGGGTTCTTTTTTTACCATTTTACAAAACCACATACTGTAGTTTGTGAAACCATTAACAGATTGCAAGAACAATAATAAGATTTTGGAAACCATATATAAATCTGGTCGTATAAAGATACACAATCACTTTCCATTTCATCAACAGCATAGAGCGTCTAGAAAACAATTGAAAATTTAGATTCTGTGTCTTCATTGCTAGAATCACAATTGCATCTTAAGACATCAAGCCAAGACTACAACGCACCACCATAGGAGAGTCTTTGAGCACTCTTACTGATGCCATCCATATTGTTGGTTTCTAGCACCACCCATTGGGTTCTGACCCCTTCCAGAGCCACCGTACTGACCGCCACCAGAGCCACCTTGTGAGTAGTTAGGCGGTCCAACACCATAGCCCCCGCTAGGTCCTCTAGGACCGGCGCCATATGGTGCACCTCGACCTTGTGGAGGATATGATCCACTACTGTAACCTCCACGGCTCTGATTGTTATAACCACCGCTCTGGTTTCCACTGGGAGGAAACCGGTTTGGACCAGGTGCACCACCACGAGGCTTTTGATAGTATTGGTGGCCGCTAGGTCCACCAGCAGGTAGTTGTGGTGGTGGTCCGTTGTGAATAGGGTGGTTTGGTCCGGCAGGCCAATGTGGAGCGCCATGAGATTGACCACCGTGTTGCTGTTGAGGCAAACGAGAGTGCTGCTGCTGCGGATGCTGCAGTTTCTGTTTCTTGGCTGCTTCCTCGTGATGACGCATCTGTTGTCGCTTTTTCTTTGTTTGGAACTCATGTGATGATTCATATGTGGGTAGACTGTTCGAGAGACATGATTCATTAATGAATTCACATTAACAATACAAGAATCTTATAGAATTGAATTACCTCTTTGGATCACACGGCAACGGATCAGTCCAAAAGTACTCTGCATCAAGAGCATCTTTTGCAGATATTCTCTGCACCAACAATAAGGAAAAATCCAAGGACTTAAATATCAAGTACTGAATTTCGGCAATTTGCTAATATATCAGATAAGTTTAGTACCTGAGACGGGTCAAGAACCAACATTTTTTCCAGTAGCTCAAGGGCATGGCGATCAAAGCTATAATAGAAAGAAGAAAAAAGGCCAAAATGAGACATCTCCTGGATCAGAGTAAAGTGGCGCTACTACATAGTGGTTTGTACTTACTTTTTGTAGATGTCCCTCACGCGTCTCTTCAAGGGCCGAGGTGATTTCATTTGGTTGTACCAAGGCATCTTGGAAACACCAGGCCAGTTGTTTTCATCAGGCGATCCACAAAGTTCATAAATCTTAGTCAATTGTTCTCCCTGGAAAACCAAAGATTCGAGTAAAATGATGTTAGTGGAAACATCATCAAAGTCTTACTGTAGAGATATTCAACAGATGAAACCCTGACCTCAGTTTTCCCAGGCAAGATTGGTTTACCATTCAAAAGTTCAGCAAATATGCAACCAACAGACCACATGTCAATCGCTGGTCCATATTTTGTGGCACCAAGTAGCAATTCAGGAGGCCTACAGCAATAACGATGCATTAAGTAGAGAATAAGATGCAGGAGCGAGCAACACTTGTTCTCTGTCTCTTTTATGTATATAAAATCAAAGTTTGATAGGCATACATACCTATACCACAATGTGATGACACGGTTTGTAAGATTTCCAGTATGATCATGAGAATATGACCGTGCAAGCCCAAAATCTGCAAGCTTTAAATTTCCCTCATTGTCGATAAGGAGATTCGAACCTGCACCAAGATATAATAGGTTAACTAGCAAATAAAGGCGAAGAGAGCCAAACAGTCAACAATGCAATTTGGGATCGTCACCTTTAATATCACGGTGAAGCACTTGATTCACATGACAATAGTGAAGCCCAGTGAGGAGTTGCTTCATGTAACACTTTTTTTGGTAACATATGTTGAAATGTCAGACACATTCGGAACATTAGGTTTCTGCAAAGGCTAGGCTACTACAGCAAGGTATCTAGCCATGCAAATGCAATACCTTGATCTGAGGAATCGTAAATTTTTGTCCAGGGCGATCAGAAAGTCCAGTCAAGTCATGATCCATATACTCAAACACCATGTAGATTCCACCCTTGTATTTGTTATTATCTACAATTTCAGCAAAGCCACAATCTTTAGGCAAGCGTAAAGAGTTTTAAGTCATACAAAAGATAACTGGATCTTGATAATGTTTCACTAACCTGGCTTTCCTTGATCGTCGCTATCTCGACCTTTTAAAGACCAAAAAGTCACAAAACTCATAAGTATTAAACTTAACGCCTCTTTAATGGAACTTGTAAAGCAATTTCAAGATGAGAGAGGTGTTCCTTATTACCTGGTGAAGTCACAATCTCTTTCAAATGGATGACGTTTTCATGATGCAGCTTCTTCAGAATCTTGATCTCCCGGATCGCTGTTATAGGAAACTTCACGCAAACAGTGACAATAAGTCATATTGGATTCACAAAGTTTGCAACTTCTCTAAGCTACTAGTGTCAAATGCAGCTTACCCCTTCTCTTTCATTGTCCATACGGATCTTTTTCAGAGCCACGATTTCACCAGTTTTGATATCTTTAGCCATGTACACTTGACTGCAAAATCAAACCAAAACATATGAATCTATAACTCCAACTACTATGTCAGCTAGCTTCAGATGTTTATTCAACAGATACACATATGTTGAATACATAAAACAATCATCCAAACAAATCCGATTACTACACGTTCTGAGAATCAAGCCTAAGA